TGTATTGCAAACAGGCCTGCAAGACAAAGAACAAATATAGTTCTCACGCAGGAACCACAATGAAGAGCATTACACAGTAAGAATGGCACCTTGCATTTTTCAGGATCCAAAGATTCCCTGTGAGTAAATCTGGTCTGTAATAAGGCTCAGTACCTAATGCAAGTGAATAAATACTTTGGAGAAATAGTTGCCTCTAAACCACACTACAAAAATGAGGAACAGAACTTAGGAGCTTCTACGTGAATAGACAGCTGAGCACAGTTTGGGCACCAGAAGCAGAGGTGATGCAAGAGAGATACTTAACTCAGCACAACTTAGTCATAAAAAGGTTGTGAATCTCTGCAGTAAAGTACTGCCCTGCAAGGACTCACTGGGCAGGTGAGTTCTGGCCTGAGGAAAGACTGGCATTCAGCTACTCCACAGACACTTTTTCTTTCTATACATATTAGAGACCAATTTGGTTGAACAAGTGTCAGTTGCCTAAAGGGGAAAAATTTCTAACTAATCCTTCTTTATAAACACCATCATCTTTAGGCTTCACATAGAGAGTAGTATTAACCAGAGTTGTCAAAGAGTTTTCATGTGGACCTGTCCTTCCCTTCTTCTGTAAGTTTGTCAAACATCAATACTTTTTATGGTTTAGTAGAATCAGATGAAGAAAAAAAGACAGGTCTTTCAAAAGGGAAAGCTTAACCACTGGCAAAGAGATTAACTCTTAAAACTTCAGCATGGATCTTTAGTCCTGTGGTTTCAAGTGTTTTACTAGATTAATACCAATCCCGGAGTACTCTCGCTGGTTTTAGTCTTTTTTATTTCCAGCAGACCTAAGGATAAGACCTTCCTGCAATTGACAGACCCCTTCTCTGGATCTCCCAGCCTCCCTTCATGCTCCCACCCAGACTTAGAAGTTCACCAGCTAAGAATGTTCAACAGCTCCTATGAAAGTTTTGGAAAGGGAAAATGACACCAGAATATGAGGAAAACAAGAATATGCCATGCCAGAGAGCTTACAATTAGATCAAACTGACTATTTCAACAAGTAGATGGAACCTATATGCATTTACAGATTGGAATCCAAAAGTTAGTAGGAAAAATGGAGTATGGGGTTTGTACTTCAGTTGTCTGTTCAGTGGGCTGATGGAGATCACACAGGCTCTGAGAATATTACAGACAGGCAGCTCTTCCCACTCTTTCTCATCTCTGTATTCTTTGGCTTCACAATATGTGATTCTCAGAACACTGAACTGGAAGGAATTTGGACTCATTCCAGAACTCAGCACAGATGATAAAAGATTCTGTACCAAACTACTTCAGCAGCTGCTGTATTAAATATAATATTACACAGCAAAATAACTTAGTGCAATTTGGCTCCCATGTGGTTTCTTTTCAGTGTTTAAGCACGCAATGCATTGGCAATACAGGAATCGAAGAAGATTAAGAGTCAGAGAGAAATTCAATTATTTAAGCCAACCCTTTTAATCAGAGTTGCAAGATATTTCTGGCAGCAAGGCCAGACGGAATGTTAGCTCAAAAGAAGCAAGATGAAAAGCATTATCCAAACATACAGAAGGGTAGTGTAGCCTAAAAGGAAGGCATTTGACACTGGTGCCTAAGTCCTAAGATCTTAATAAACTTTATGCTTACCCAGAAAAAGGAGAGTTCTTCAAAGTACTTAACAGTCAAAACACTAAACAATCAAAGTCTGTGCTCAAGTCATCTATACCTTGAGCTAATGAGTTCTGTGAGAATTTTAGGTGCATTGCGGCAAAAATAAAAGAATATTGTTCCTAAATACTAAGTCCCATCAAATTCACATACCAAATTAGAAGCAAATCACTTCAGGAAGCACATTTTGCACTATTTCCAGAAGTAATTATTTGGTTAAAATAAAGTAATGTATCCAAACTAGATTATTAATAGAATCCTTGTTCTCCAATATTCAGACCAGTTTTACAGATAGCATATAATTTAATATTTAGCGCATTAGCCACTAATCCCCCAATGTTTCACTACTAACAAAGGAAAAGAACAGTCTATGCAGAATTATAGTCAAATGATAATAAATCAGTTTGTATACAATAATTTATATTAAAAAATTAACCCATCATCTACCTGAATTGATATCTGGATCTTGCCCTTCTAGCAAACTCTGAAGTCTCCTACTCGTTAGTTCCAGGAGAGTTAAAGGAGCCTGAAAATACAACCCAAAAAAAATTACTAAAGCAATACTTCTGTATTTTGATACCGATTTAAAAACAGTTAAATGCAGAAGAATCGATGCCCACATTTATTTAGGTACACATTCAAAGTCTCTCACAGAATTGCACTAAAACACACAATTTTATTAAGATGAGTGTGTTTATTTCTGGCCAAAGAAATAGGAAGCAAAACGTTCTAGATGTTGTTTTCCATGGCAAAACCTGCACTGTAAAACAAGCTGATTTCAGCTTTCACACAAGGCTCTCAATTGCAGCTGTCGGAGTGAACCATCATCCACCTGCTGTCACTGCTACACAGTTTGGCCCTAACTCCAGGGGAGTATGAAAGCCCCAACCCTCATGTCAGAACCCTTAATACAAATTTAAAAAGGGGGGTTGGCTGTGTACTAACAAATACAAAACTCTCAATAGCCTCTTAATACTTTCAACCTAAACTGGAGCTAATTAAAAATAATAAAAAAAATAACTCCCATGTCTCGATCTGAAGTCAGAAGTGGAAATCGATGTGCTGTATAAAAATAAAAACCAGTATTTTACTGTAACCAAATTTCTGTGAAGCTTGTTTTTATAGGGTAAAGTTTCATCTTTTCACATGTGACAATATGATGGAACATAAACTAAGGAGATTATAAAAAGCCTGCATATTCACACAACTCATCAAGTTTCATAGAAAGGCTACTAGCATTTTGTGGTTCTATTTGTTGTCTTCAATTTAGAAGTTAATATTCTGAAATACTGAAGGATCTTTTAGAGTTGTGAAAGCTATACACATACTTGTACTGGTGTACAAGAGCATGCCATTTTTCTACCACTCAGACTATGCCAGTGAACTTCTAAAGGAGAAAGATACTAAGATACCTAAATATTTAGGTAGGCATTCATTACCAACAAGGTGCCAAAATGACTCTACAAAAAATATTTTAAATATTTTCCTAATACAAATCATACAAATAAAGAGGATATAATTTATAAAGGATTGCAAAGCACTCAAAAATCTGTCCTCTATGTCTGGAACAGCTTCTCACTGTTTGGCTTTACTATTAAACTGTAATAAATGGAACATTAAACACAGTTCCTCAGGCTTGTCATACTCCAAAAAAGGCAATTCATGGCATTTAACATTTAAAATGACAAAGCCAATGATGTAAGGAGAATGATACCTTGAAGAGCTCGGTGTGATTGTCCATCAGAAACTGAGTCAGCAGTTCTGCCTGTGGTTTTGACAGCATCCTATTTTGTACGATGAACTTGGTACAAGTCTTGATGATCACAAATTGGTTCTCAAACTAGAAAAAGTAGTACCCAGATTTGGCATTAGATTGACTTGCAGTGTGCTAGCAAAGACTAAGTATAACAGGATGCTATGAGTGGGAAACAGATCACACAGAAAGGCAGTAAACAGAATACTTCTAACAGGACAAAAATGTTAGCTTTACTATGAGAAAGTGCTATTTTTCACAGTAAGTAGAATAGATACTTACTTGTTTTTGCAATCTGTAGCCCTCAGATTCTGATGCAATGGCTAGGAATGTAAGGAGCCTGTGAAGTTCTTCACTAATATTCGGTGCTAATAATTTTAAATAAAGTTGTAATGCCTCTAGAGCTTGATCTGTTTTTCCTTTTTCTGCCATGGAGTAAAACAGCATATCCAACGTTACTATTAATTTTCAGAGTCACAAATACTTATTTAAATCCCAATAATAATCTCACTTTTGGGGGGGTTTCCTTTCAAACAAAATTTCATGCTTTTCCAGTTATTAAAAGATTCTTTTCTCAACCCACAGGTTTCAAGTTTTCCTCCCCCACCAGGGCAGGGTGGCAGCAGGCAGATAGTGAGCAGCTTTGTAGTACTTAGATGGCAGCTAGGGTTAAGGCACAACAACCCAATAGGGCTGGAGCAGCAGCAACAAAGCCTATTTAAGTAGGATTAATCTTAAACTTGTATTTAAATGAAACCCTTCTGGTTTACTTGTATGCATATGATGGGAGGGTTCTCAACAGTTCCTTTTATAATTTCAAGTAACTTCTATTACTAAAAAGGACCCTACATCCATAACTTTAAAAACCTTATTCTGGTTAACATGAATTTTATAGCAATGATATTAGTTTTATGTTATTACTTAGTAGTAGCAATAAGGCCAATTCTGACTTGGAGTAAGTAGCTTTCACAATGAGAGTAGTTACATATTGAAAGAGTTACCCACAGAGGTTGGTGAATCTCTATCCTTCCAGATTTTCAAAATTCAGTTGGACCAGGCCCTAAACAAATTGATCTAACTTTGAAATTTGTCCTTGTCTTGAGTAGAAGTTCTTAATAGTGATCTTGAGCATTTCCTTCCAACCTAAAAAATGCATCTGCAATGGCATTGCAAATGGTGTCATGATTCAGTCAATTGATGCCTAGTGACATCCTCTACACAGCTTTCATCCATATTTTTTGTTCCAGGTTGCTCTCACCTATAAGTTCTATAATTCCTGAATGAATATCAAAATCCTGAGTGTCTAGAAGAGAGCCCTTCTTTTGACTGTAATACTTCATTATAACATCAAAAAGAATCTTCTTGTATGTATTCAGACTGCTGGGGTTGTTAGTGCTTTGAGGTAGCTGCTGACTAACCATCACTAGGAATTGGTCAGGAAAATACTCCAAGCATTCAATTGCAGCATAGAGCCATCTGTCAAGCCTGTAGAAGGAAAAAGTAGTTTTAATGCTTTTTTATTTTCACAGATTCATAGAATATTCTGAGTCAGAAAGGACACACAAGGATCATTGCATACAACTCTTAAGTAAATGGGATTGAATCTGTAACCTTGGTGTAATTAGCACCATACTCTAAACAACTGAGCTATCTCAAGGTCCATTTAATTCTTTGAAGACAACTAGATAAAAATAACCATGTAGGTATAGTCACATATATGAACCACAATGCTGAACTGGTTTATTAAGCAGTTTGTGTAACTTATTTCTCTACAGCAGTTCAAGAACCTGCTCAAAATGAGCAACTTCCATGTTTTTCCTATGCTAAAGGCAATACACCTGAGATAAACCCAGATCAAAACAAGCTGCAATCATGCCAGACTGTCACTAACCCCAGGAACTCAGCTAGTATTTAAAAACCAAACACCACCCCACCATTACTCCAACAGACATATTGAGAACCCACCAGGGTTAACTGGGGTAAAAAAAAACTACAGAAGACTACAGAAGCAGTTTATTATATAACCTACTATAAAGGCATGAGTTTTCACAAGCATCTGCTGTCTCTAGGTCTTAACTAAGGAAAGAAAATGTAACCTAATTATGCACCTAAAATTCAGGTGTATAATTTATTGTTGAAAGAAGCCAGAAGATAAGAGGAAAAAGTCTCAACCACTTTGTACAGAAGGAATATAAAATCATAGAAATGTGTTGGGCAGAGGGACAATTACTTTTGTGATTCTGGATGTAAAATAATTTGATCCGAACCAATGACAAGTTGCAAATATTATTTACAATCCACAGAATCTTATTTTTATCATGGAGAACAGAAACAAAGATTGTGAAATTGCAGATAAAAACTGCATTAATTTGACTAAAATAGTCATTCCTAAGACATTCACAAGAGCCTTGACATATTCATTAGAAGTATGTGCAAGACAGAGATCAGCCTAAGTACACTAAACAGGAACACTACCAAAGTAAGACAAGATTCAAAGAAAAGAGCACTGACAACATGCAGCCACTTTTATATTCTCATTATATAAGCATTCTTCAGTGCTACAGCTTAGTTTCTCCTTTTCTCTTGCTAACAACAGATGCCTTATTGACTTTGTATCATCACACCATGGCCACCAGGAACTTAGACAAACAAAAAGCCTCAGAATGGAATTTTTCAAGTTCTAATGTCTGTTACGGAGACCTAAGAGTAAAGAATTCGGTCATAAACTAGGAGTGTTTATAACACTCAAGGTTAAAGTTTTAATTTTTCTTAAAATGCTCAATTGTCCAACTCTAAACATATACTTTTTGTGAAATCACTTACCACTTCTATAAAGAAGTCAATCCCACTAATGCCACCCCTGTCTACAAGTATACAAGCATAATGATGTCTATTTGTTCACTTAACACAAATCCTTGAGCAAGAGTAAAATAAAGCATTTACTAACAAATTCATTTCATAGATATATAACTTACTCAGGCAAGTTTAAGCTACACATAACCTCTCTGTCCAGGAAAGTATTTGAGATAATCATATCTTCTTCTTTGCCAAAACTGTTTGGTTTTGTCTTCACTGAAGACACCAAGATATCTTCCAGAAAGGGAACATCAATTAACTGCAGCAGTCGTAGCAGAGTTTGCTGTTTCCAGACATCTTCTATTACTGATACCATAAACAAACAAAAAAACCCTCAGAAACAAGATCTTATGTAAACAACTAACCTTTGTTTTTCTCACTCAAGAATCTTTTAAGCGTTCAAAGAAAACACGGTAACAGCATAGTGTGAAGTTGCTGTGTTGGGTAGGAAGGGATCAAAATAGGAATGTTTAAAAAAATGTCTCCCCTTATCATATTAGGATTCAGAATAAACTAATTAGTAGAAGAAAAAAAAAAGACTAGTGAAAAGCAAAAGAATCACATAAAAATGATAATCTTAAGACCTACTTCCTTCTGTAGTAGTATTTTCATAAATAGTACCATTATGCAAAAACATAACCCTGTTGTGCTTCCTTCTGTTTAGTTACGACAAGCATTAACCCTTCTAACACTCATTTAGATATTTTGTCATCAGTGACAGGTTAAATTCAGGTCTCTGTGGAGCACTGTTTAACAGAAATGGGGCACTCACTCCCAGATACAGTGCAGAACAATCAAGTTTAAAAAAAAAAAGAGAATTCAACCCTCACCTCGTTTTGAGAGCAGGCAAGTTGGTTCATTAACCATTATCTTTGGAGGTAAAGATGTATGAACGTATATTGATTGAAGAAGCTCCTCAACCTTTTTTTTATTAGCTGCTTCCAATGCTAAGGGGTTTGAAAGTGTTGTGTCACACTTTGTTCTGCTCAGGGAGGGAAAAAAAAAGTTAGATATATAACAAATACTATTAGAACACATTTGTCTTTCTGTTACTTACTAAACTGCTCTTAAATCAGAACTTTAGGGCTTCATTATATGGGGAGTTCTCTCCTGCTAATAGAATTCCTATCATCCACATCTGCTTTGTGGAAAAGGCAAGGATATTGATTCCAAATACTGTTTGCTAGTTCTACTTCATTTACCAACTTTCAGTAACTAGCTCATTCATGCTAGTTCTCAGATTTCAGCACAATTTATAGCAAAACCAAATTATTTCTAGGCTTATGCTACTGTGCCAGACTCTATTCCAAATAACAAAGGGCAGGCCAAAACCCTTTACCCAAATATACCTGGTAGCATCTACATTTCTCAAAACTGGCACTGGTTTAGACAGACATAACTTCATTTAAAGGTAACCCTCCTTAACTTATTAAAAAATAAGAAAAATTAGAATAGTTCAGCATAACTCACTTGGAACATCTTTTTGTTTTCTGTTTGCAGATTTGCTCAGGAGATATGCTTCCACTGTCTTTATTCTTTCTTGGAAGAAGAGGTTCAAGACTGCTATTTACAAATCTATAGAGACTGGTGTCCGTGTCTTCAAACTCTGTTTCTTTCCCACTCTTGAATAAGTAAAGCTTGGCTCCAACCGGCTCAAACACTTTGTGATCCATCAACGCTTGGCATACACGGACCCCCTTCAGCCGAGAAATATCATTGCAGCTTAGGTACATGCTTTGCATAAGATGGCTCAGCACCACATCAACAGCATTGGAGCCTGTGAAACAGTTTCTATATGTTTTCAGGTGTTGTCTACGTCTTTTGATTTCCACTTGATTGTGAAGGGCATGTATAATACTATTCCACAGCTGAGTTGCTTGAAAAGGACCATCACAGTCTGCAAAAGAGTTATATGAAAGCTTTACAAATTCATAAGCCTTTAATTTAATACTTTAAAAAAATGTATTGTGATTTTAGTTTTATATCTTAAAAAAAAATTTCAGAAATCAGCTTAATTTTATAACGATAACATTTCATGACTCAGTCCTTGTAAGCTGACTCACACCCACTATGGTTGAGTCAAGAGAACGAAAATCCACTAAAAACAGGCGAGGAAGCTTTTTTTATCATTGTTAAGACCACATACATTGTATGTACGCGCTGTGTACGTACACAGTAAATCATTAGAGAATCACAAAACAGCCGAGGCTTGCAAGGACCTCTGGGGTCTATCTGGTCCAACCTCCCTGCTCAAGCAAGGCCACCCAGAGCTGGTCACCCAGAACCATGTGCAGACAGGTTTTGAATATCTCCAGAAGCCGAGATGGCCACACACCTCTCTGGGTACCACTGAAGAGAGCCTGGTTCCATCTGTTTGCACTCTCTCTTTATATACTTACAGAGACACCCCCGAGCCTTCTCTTCTCGCGGTGAGCGGCCCCCGCGCTCCCAGCCTCACTGGGGGAGGTGCTCTGAAGCCCCCAGTTCATCCTGACACATCGCGCCCGGCTCAGCAGACGACAAACAAGCGTTTGCACTGCATTAACCGCGCCTGGAACAGCCAGCCCAGCTCCACGCCCAGCCCTACCAGCGGCGCTCCCAGCAAGCTCAGCTCCATGGATATGGCCGGAGGAAGCTCCTCTGCTCCCCGTTCAGCTGCCGAGCCTCCCTAGCCCTGTTCTGCCCGCCGCCCGGCCACGGGCCCTCCCGCGGCACCGAATCACGGGGCAGGCGCCCACCCCTCGCAGCCCGCTCCGCTCCCCGGCCCCTCCGACACTGCGGGGGAAAATCTCCAGCAGCGGAGAGACAGGGGAAGACGCTATTCGCCCACCTCGGCGCCGCCCGCTCCCCCGCCGCGGCTGCAACTCGCTCTGGCTGCGGATCCTCCTGAAGCGCGGAGTCAAATACCCCGCCATGGCCGCGGCCGGGCCGCTGGCGGAAGCCGCCGGAGCGCATCACTTCCCGCCCGCCGCCCCCGGCCGCGCCCAGCGCCGCCCCTGCGGGTCGGAAGTGAGCCGAGCTCCGGCCGCCCCCTCCCTGCCGCCGAGGCTGCCGCCGTCGCTATGGAGTAGCCGCGGCAGGACGGGGCCCGAGCGAGACACGGAGCCGGCGTGACAGGCGGCCCGACGGGCCCACAGGCCGACGGGCAGCCGAGCGCTGCGCCGGCAGCCTCCCGCGGGCTCAGGTGAGAGGCCGCGGCCCGGGTCGAGAGTGGCTGCCCGTGGCCTGGTGGCGCTGCGCGGGGCGGGCAGGGCCGGCCGGCTCCGCGGGGGCGGTGGTCTCGGGTCCCGCGTGCCGGGAGGGCTGGAGGGGAAGGGCCGCCCCGGAGGCTCGATGCCGGGCAGGGCCGGGCGGGGACAAGCTGAGCTGCCCGAGCCGGCGGATCGCGGGTCACCTGCCGCCTGTGGCCGCGGCCGCCGCCCGCCCCCGGCGCGCCGCTCCCGGCTGCCCCGCGGAGCGGGGAGCGCAGGCACTGGCCCTGCGGCGCGGAGCGGTGCGAGTCCGCTCTCGCTGTAAATAACAGTAAATACTTCGTCCGGGAGGACTGGTCCTCAGGAGGCTGACCGGGGTTTGTGCAGCGCACGGGCTGAGTTTCACCTGTCAGCAGGCGACAGTCAGACCCTGTTCATGGATCTCGTTCCGTGAGGTTTTGAGAGGGATTCAGCTGAAGCTCAGTACCGAAATGGTGTATGAAAGTTAAGAAGGTGACATGCGGCGAGAGCAGCCTTGCTCAGTGCTTCATTGCATGTGACCCTCTCGGTGTTTTTGTAACAAACGCAAAAGACTGGTTGTGCCGGAAAA